CCCCCCCCCCCCCGCCGAAGACTTCACGTGTCACGTGGCAACAAACATGGATTTGGACGACGAATGCCAGGTTATTCATGAATTTTCTGTTCTTAAATGTTGCCTTTCTTATTTAAATATTTTTGAATTTAAACGTAATTTATTTCTTTTTGGTGATATGTCACAGGAAGTTTCATGTCTTTCATAAAAGCGTTTCTAGTTAGTCACGTAATTTATCAAGGCAGAAAAATTTATACCAGAAGACATGCATATTTGACCAATCTTTGTTTATGAAGTACCATGCATATTTTGGCATTATATTAATGTCGACGAAGTAAGTTGAATCACACTCAAAAAATTATTACAAAGTGCGATGGAATTATTACAAATTGCGACAACTTAGTTTATTACAAAGTGCGATGGACTGTTATTACAAATTGCGACAGCTTTTTTATTACAAATTGCGACAAGGTTTATTACAAATTGCGACAGGTATTACAAAGTGCGATGGATTTATTACAAATTGCGACAGGTATTACAAAGTGCGATGATTATTACAAATTGCGACAGTACACCATATAACTAGACTTCACTCTTAAGTGAATTACCTCACAGAAAACATTTTTGACTCCGGCAAATGATAAAAAAGGGAACTTTTCTCTTAAAACCAGATTTATTGGCAGCAAGGAAATTACAACTCCAAGCTTAGAGATCCTTTATAAACGGCATGCTGACAACCTCTATAAATATTCCATATTATTATAATGATCAGTGACGACAACATTCTGATGCCGCGGCATCTGACATGAAAAAAACAAAAAAGAAAAAATACTTTATTCATGATCAATAGGCTGCAGGATTTGCTTTATCTTGCTCTTGTCAAATAATAGGATGAAGATAAACACTTATAGAACTGAAACCATGGCTTCTCGTACTTCGCTTCTCTAATAAAACTGCCAGGTGACGTCTATCCCCACATTCTTGTTACGCTTTTTTGCCATTTACCATAGTTTTTTTGTCTGGCTTCTCTCGTATGTCTTCCAAACTCTTTCCAGCAACTGTTCGAATCAGGAGCCATAAAATGATCCTGAACCACCACAAGTTCATAGCGAACAGAATCCACAGCATGATATTGAAGAAGAAGTAAAATGGCCCGGCTGGGACAAGAGGACGAAATTCATAGCCACAAGAATAGAGCACTTTAATTGGGTAGATGTATAGTCGACAGTAAAACCTGGAAATCATAATTCATAGAATTAGACACGTTACTAGTAGAAAGCTCTTCTAAGGCCCAATTTACTAATTCTTAAGGACTTCATTTTAGGCGAAATTCTCGAGATATTAACCCTATTCAGACCTTCGCTCACTACAAACTTGAGTAACTTAAAAACCGTTTAAGACCCCCAAACCTGAAGCCACTCAGTTCTCAACGACCCGGCAGCGCCTTAGCGATACAAGCAGCCAGGGCCCTGATCAAATTAGAAAATAATTTTTAAAATTCAGGTTGTTCTGAGGTTTCAGCTTCTGTATGAAACACTAAATTTGGGTGTGTAAATTTTATCGATTACAGGAAAAGCACTGAACCCTTTGTTGCATTTCCCGAGAAATTTCTGAATTGTTAGTTTTACAATGCACTTTGCAAAAAAATGTTTATCTACACAATGCATCCTTAATTACCATGTCTTCATAATTGTGACATATTCCATTCCCACTCTATTCAGTCAATTTTGCCATCTGCATCTTTAATTTCTGAATCTTCTCGTATGTCTTCCAACTTTTTTCCTGTCACCGCTCGAATCAGCATCCGTAAAATGTACTGGAACCACCACAAGTTCATACCAAAAAGAATCCATAGCATAATATTGCCAGAGAAGTAAAATGGGCGGTTTGGAACAAGCTTACTGAATTCGTAGCTTCCAGCGAAGAGCACTTTGATTGGGTAAAGGTACAGTCGGCAATAAACCCTTAAAACAGTGATTATTAGAAGGGTAAGATAAGTGCAGAACTTAATGTAAAAAAATACCAATTTATGCATTGAAGCACACGTACCAACTCCGCGGTACACACTTTATGGCCTCTACCTTACGCATACGCACAACCATATCACCTCTGCGGTGGCAGCCATGAACAGCTGGCATTGCCGTCGGGTATATGAACAGACGAACCTGTCAAAAATCAAAGACCCTTTACTACCGAGGCGAGCACAAAGAAGCACTCCTTTGAGCGCCAGCTCTACCGCGGAGTTGGTAAGTGTGGTTCAGTGCAAAAATTGGAATTTTTTCAAAATTATTTGGGCGCACAGGTCAATTTTTCCGATTCCATGTCCATACGCATGCTGTAGGAGAACTGTTTTGCGGTTCCCAACTAACAACTACCACTTGTTTGCGGTGGAGCTGGAGTTAAAGCAGTGCTTCTTTGCACTAGCCTCGGAAATAGAGGGTCTTTGCTACACGGATTCGCCCGTCCATATATACTGACACGAGGGACAACTGTCCCTTACTGCCACTGCTGGGGTAACATGGTTGTGCGCATGCGTAAAGTAATGGCCATACCGCGTAGCTTAAACCGCGTAGCTGGACGTGCCCTTCAGTGCTAAAACTGCCTGACAGAACAGCCGTCATCTCGCGACGCCACCTGTGGTTTTCCCGCGAAATGACGTCTGAGAAACAAACGCAGAAAAACCATACTATTGACGCGTCACTACCCAGATCTGGGTAATGCTTCTGATTGGTTGAAGCAAACTTTCAGCCAATAAGAAGCACTACTCAGATCTGGGTAGTGTCGCATCATAATGGAATTTCTGCGCTCGTTCCTCAGGCGTTTTTTCGCGGTGAAACCAATGGCGACGGCACGAAATGTGAGTCGGCTGTTTTCTTAGGCTATAATAAAAAAGAGACAAGATTTCTTATGACTAACCCTCTACATTTGTGGCTGTTACTATTGTCATCGTTGCACACTTGAGTTGAATTTCCTCTATAATTGTGGAGATCTGTTTCACAAATTTTCGCAGAAAGTTTGGCTATTGCTTAAATGGTTTTAAGTTTGCATATAGGTTCAGAAAGTTATAGAGTGGTATGCTTTGCTAAAGCTTGTTCAAACAATGCGCAATGATTGCGGTAAGGAAACAGCAACTTAAACTGTGTTGGCTTTTTTCAGGGTTCTTTCATGATCAGCTGTGGGCAGTGAAGCGTTCGGTTATCTTAACCTGCGTTAGATAGAGAATAAAGGGAAGGGAGAGTATATTAACTAAGTATAGTAAAGAAAGTTCAAAGGCCGGCCCACAGTGCCGGCTATTAAAAGTGTTTACTTCAGATGCATTGGATGTTTACCATTTACTCAAACCACCAGGATGGGAATTCGGTGCATAGACATAAAACTATAAAATTTGACGTGGTGGGAAAACGACCCGCTACAAAGTATATCCAAATTAGCTACAAACTAGACTACAAAAATTGCATCACCTTAAATCACAGCCCATATTTTCTGAAGTACCAAAATGGAATGGCTCGAACCATTTGATTTCCCAACCGGAACTTCTGGTTTTTCCAAGTAAATGGTAAGTACCCTAGGGTATTTTTGATTAACAAATACAACATTGCGTACCAGAGTAACGTAAAGCACAAAAATGTAACAGAACCGAGAATGTCTGGAAGAAGATGGTACTTTCCGTTGCGCGTCTTGAATGCCACACAGAGTTTACCGAATTCTAAAAATACATCATTGACGTCATGTAGAAACAGGACGAGAACACCAATTTTATGGTACCTGAAATGAAANGCATAGACATAAAACTATAAAATTTGACGTGGTGGGAAAACGACCCGCTACAAAGTATATCCAAATTAGCTACAAACTAGACTACAAAAATTGCATCACCTTAAATCACAGCCCATATTTTCTGAAGTACCAAAATGGAATGGCTCGAACCATTTGATTTCCCAACCGGAACTTCTGGTTTTTCCAAGTAAATGGTAAGTACCCTAGGGTATTTTTGATTAACAAATACAACATTGCGTACCAGAGTAACGTAAAGCACAAAAATGTAACAGAACCGAGAATGTCTGGAAGAAGATGGTACTTTCCGTTGCGCGTCTTGAATGCCACACAGAGTTTACCGAATTCTAAAAATACATCATTGACGTCATGTAGAAACAGGACGAGAACACCAATTTTATGGTACCTGAAATGAAAAAAAAGAGAAAAAAAAAAACAGTTTGCTTCGAACTATATCGCATTGAAAAGCTCACTGCAGCTACAACTTGTAGCTTAACAGTTGATTTAAGTTTAGGATGATTTAAGTTCGAATCCTGGCGTTGACGCCATATGTGGGTTGAGTTTGTCCTTGGTTCTCTCTCTTGCTCCAAGAGGTTTTTCTCCGGCACTCCAGTTTTCCCCCCTCCCTAACAAAACATCACTTCCAAATTCCAATTCTATCTGGAACGCACGGACGCTTTTCAACGAGTTCTTAAGAACTCCTAGGTGATCCGTGAGTAAACAAATTACATGAATTCACACATTTACAATTTACGTGGAACCTATAAAACCGAAAAGATGCAAAGGCTATTCTATAAACCGCCTTTGCCACTCGCCTCTGCTATCTGAGGGTCCCTGGTGATATGGCCGTTTTTATACGCATGCCACTTACGTCACTATATATTGTCACGACAGGTGGTAGGGACTCAGTGTAGTTTGCGCTTAGCCAATACAACTTCGACTCAGCATCTAAAGTCGATTTAAGTCGTTGTGAATGTGCAAAACGTACCGTTAAAGGGAATTAAGAACGGTTTTCCACGAGTTCGATGCACACAAATTTAGTTTTTATAAGTAGGTGGAGCGAGATCGTCTGGGTGATCCTAGTCCTGGCTAGGAATCTGGTTGACTGTGACGAAACGCACCGATGACATTTCGAGTCTTCGTTGCCAATAGCATCAGGGCGCGACCAATAACATCGAGACTTATTTGACTAATCAAGTCAATAACCAGAGTTTAATACCATCAACTGACGTGATACAACTCACTTTGACCTCGAAGATGACTACCACACAGGTTGTCGAAACGTCGTCGCTGTCAACAACAACAGTCCTATTCAGGACCTCACCCGTACGATCACACTCAGACTACTTATGAGATGACTTCTTAGTTCAAACCATGCTTTCACAAAGTTAGACTGGCTAACACCTCATATTTTCGTATGCTTTCCATCCTGATTCATTCCAACTTTGTATTATTGCTGCACCTTCTGCGCAAGTAAAAGGAGTCAAAGCCCCCACCCTCGTTTGAAAAAATCGTCCCAGGCGTCCCAAGCTGGACCTTAAGTTGGCTAATGACAATCTTTACCTTAGCGAAAATGACAATACAATAAGTGAAATAGTAAGAATGTGATGTGAAAACGTCAGAATTGAGTCCTTCCTCCACAGATCCATAAACAATACGGCATATAACGCATGAATGTAGTACCCTGCTTGCACAACATAGAGCGTGTAAATGTCTTGAGGAACTGGCATTCCTTTGTACCATCCTAAAAAAAAGAGGAAGATCGTTTTAAGGACAGAGAGCTTTACTTGTAACTGACTTTTGATTCTAGCAAAAAGCTGCGTAACGAAGCCAAAGAATATCTTCTTAGTAGGAAAATGGTAGAAAGCTAACATTTCCGAGGCCATTATACAAAACAAACTGACTTTTCAATAAAAACCCACTACACAAAAAGGGGTGCAGACTTTATCTCGTACCCAGATCTCTTATTGACGAAGCCGCTCGCCTTCGGCCTCGTCGACGAGAGATCTCGGTACGGGATTAGTGTGGACTTGCATACCAAGCCCCGGGTGTAGAGCGTTTTTTAGATTTGACTAGAGATACCAAAAATTCTATATAAAATTAGCGTTGTTAGAGCTGGCTGTCTCGGATAAACCAACCATTCTGTAAAAAAATCGAGCTCTCGATTTTTCATTTAAATTCGTCAAGGGTCCAAATCAGCCTATAAAAGCTAAAGCTTAGAGGAATTTGACTTGAGTTTTTGTGCTTTCCTGACTCAAAGCGCTCCAAGTTATTTGCCCTGTTCAATCACGGTGAGGTAAAATTAGCTTGGACTTGTATTTCAAATCCGGCAACTCTCCAGTAATAACCAATGGACTCAGCGTTATCGTCACTTTTTAAAACTGGCTGACTCGTGTGTTGAAACACTTACCTCTCCAACAGTTCTTTGTCTCATGAAAAAAGTCATATTTGCCACTAAATAGTAAGTGGAAACAATATCCATATGCTATGGAGTAAAACAAAAGCTTGAAGGCACTTTCAGGGCATTTTTCCTCTTCTTTCGCAAGCAGTTTAAACTTCCTGAAGATGGGCTGCAAATGAAATCAGAGTGTTTCGTAATCTCGTACCCAGATCTCCCATGCCCAAGGGAAAGTGTAAAACAGAGTGAGATCTGGGTACGAGATTAAGTGTTTCGAAGACTTTAGTGGATGCTGTTATGCTAAATGGAGGGTGTTTTTCATATTTATATTGCTCACACTATTTGGGAAAATAACAGTTAGTTTGATTTGAAAATAATTATTTTATGAGTTGACTATGTTATGTTATAGGTGGGTAACAATACAATAATCATGAGTCTCCTATAAATAAATACAATGTGCAAAGGACGGAAAAGAAAGAAATTCTTGTTGTTATTCCTGCTATATTTGTTGTTTCTTCTATACATTTCTGCAAGCAGTTCCCCTTAGACTTTATTTTGCCAAAATTTCGATAAAATGTTGCTAACACTGAAATTTTTCATAAGTAGCTTGAGTATGATCTTCCGGGTAAACGTAGTCCTGAATAGACTGAATAGGACTGTTGTTTTTGACAGTGACTGACGTTTCGACAACCTGTGCGGTAGTAATCTTCCGAGTCAAAGTGAGTTGTTTCACGTCAGTTGATGGTATTAGAGAGTGCAATCCTGGACATTATAAGTGAAAACTATAACAAGTACGATACTAAACTAAAATTATGGATACATAAGGAAGGAGAACACTTTAACTGAATAAGAAGTCAGCTCAGGTAGGAACTGGTAATAGTACGACTCACATCAACATAAACCTTCTCAGTCTCCAAAACCAAGCGCAGTAACTTATGAAATTTACCCTTTAGGGCCGCGTGAGCCTGATCGAGAGTAATTGGTACGAGATTTCTATGACTGGCGTTGAACCAAGCTGATGTGATAGGAGGGTTAATTAGTTATATTCTACAGAAACTTTGGTGTTGCATCGAAAGGGGAGTGAAATACAACGATTTCGTGTTATCATTTGGGTTGATAATGTAGATTAACTCAGTAGATTTATATTGAAAATGAAATGGTTGCAACCTTTGCAACGGAAGTAAAGTGATGAACTAATCAGAAATGGCGTTCCGAGAGCTTCGTGCCAACTGGCATCGAAAAGGTGATGCAATAGGGCGAGGGAGGGGGGAGTTTTTTTTTCTGTCAGAGGCGCAAGCTTTGCACGAATTTTTTTCCCCATACATTTCTTCTTTTGTAACTAATCTACGTTACGTAAGATTTATATCATAATATAATGTCTAAGAGGATCACGCATTATAGTTTATCACTTGGTTCCTTTTTGCCGTGTGTCTGTTCAGTAATCAATCACAAATGATGTTAAAATGTGTTTTAGCACATGAACCGCAGACATTTTGACGTCCCTTGTGATCTATTATTACGGGAACGACCTACTCAAGGCAGAAAGGAAAGATTGGTATTATTCAAATATAAAGAAACAGAGGCACTTCAATGCATCCATTACTTTCTTTTGTTTTGATGGTTGCTAGTGTTTCATATTAAAACAAAATTATAGTGTTATTTATCGTTGAAAATTTCAATTTTTAACATACTTGAGAAAATATTATTTTTCTTATATTACTATTGTTCTATCAAAAATATTTTGAAAATACATTTTATATCTGAAGAGAGAGATTTTATAGTATAATTATTTTTGATAGCAATGAAGCAAGCCATTATTATTTATGTTTTGTTGTATGAAAAAAAATCATACATTTGCTTTCATGGGTACTGAAGCACAAATTAAGAATTTCAATTCTCTTTATCTTTAGACATTGTTTTATGTTTCTTATCCCATTCTTTTAATAACCGTAAATGCTATGCATGTCCCTTCCTCTGCAAGAATTTTTTTTACGTATCACCCCTCGCAGGATTTTTTTTAATGACAAGTTTGCCTACCCTTGGTACCAGAGGTTTTTTCTCCCGTGTGACGAGGAGCTTCGTCGGCTGCAGGCCGACACGTCTTCGGCCTTTGGCAGAAGACACAATCGGCGAAACTGGAAACCGCACATGAAAAGCCTCTGGCACCCAGCAGGCAGGGTAAAGTTGCCCTTGAAGGAATTTTTTTTGGGGAATTGTCGCCCAGCAATACAATTGGCTTAACGGCCCAATATCTGCCATAACGTGGCGGAGAGATGAGTAGTTTTGAAATTATTCCTACGCATGCATTTAATTTCTTTGTTAAATATGCAATTTTTGAATCAGGCAACAGTTTCATTATGACCATTATATTTCCTTGGTCTAAAATTTTATCTGTGAGAAACTTCACACTGTCAAGATTTTGTTTCAAGCTTTTCAAGAGAGCGATGAGGAATAATCATTATATACTCATGTAAGGAACGTTTTAAGTCACGTTTATAAAAAGCTAATAAATTTGCAAAGTCAGTATGTGACCGTGATTTAGGCAGATAGTAAGTTACCGGCGATTAAAACAAATGCACCTAGACATAAATGCTAGACTAGTATTTAGTATGGGATTGTAAGGAGAGATTTCCCATGAATTCTTTATTTGCCTCGAAGTTCGTATATAGCTTTTAAATATTCCCTTTGAAGTTGTTTTAGCCGTAATTTACATTGAATTTGCATTGATATGTCTTAATTAGTTCTCTTAATTTATACACATTTTACTTCAATGTTTACTTTTAAAAAGATAACTAGTTTCTGAATAATTACACAGCTTAGTCACCGAACAACTGGATCTTTCTCCTGCTCAAATGCCAATCGTTTGTAGTTTTCAAGTTTTGACATTTTAAGGAATCCTGAGCAAAGGAAAGTCAGCTAAACTCGAATTCTTTTGCACAGCTTTACTGCTGAATCTTTGTAAGTTTCCGCAATTCATTTCCTTGACTGACATTATTTTAAGTTTAACATATTTATCCAGATTTGTTCTCGGTGTTCTGCTGATTTTATTCAGCCTTCTCTCCATTTGTTTTGAAATGTTGTAATGAGTTGATCGGTTAGTATAAATAGAGCACTGTTATCCCTGTTTTACGATTTACATTGCGAATTTACATGCTTGTATGATTTACATTTTGGATGCACATGCATGTATGATTTATTTCCACGAACTGAAGATTAAACTGTTGAATTCCAAGTTTGAGTGCTGTCCTGTTTTCCAGCTGTAACAGATCCTGATACCGTGGAACAGTCAGAACAGTGACAAGTTTCTTTCCCGTTAGCCAAGCGAGTTGCAGAGTTAGTTTTTCCCCTTGTTGTTCATACGCTGAAGTCGCTCGAATTCTCTTAACGCTTATTTCCCCGATTTGTGCTTGGAAGAGCAAAACCTATCGTCACAGGATAGTTTCTGCATAAAAAGCTTGATCAAAGTAACCACGCGAGTACGCACTCGGATTTTTTTTTTACGAGCTCTTCTGGGTGATTTTATTTTTAAACAAGCCACGAACATTTATGTTACACTCTCGGTCACGGAAGATAACTTTCGGAGGAAAACACTCAGCCGGGATGAATAGGGCCAATGACCTCAGGGGCACCCAACGACCGAATGTTTCCAAATACGCCAGAAGTGTCTCAGATGGTTTCAATCTCTGTGCTTTAGAAGCCTGTTTGGTTAATCTGGAGTTGCCCTAAAAACTATATTTATCTGTTCGGATGTGTTGGGGAGCTTTGGTCATCACGAAAGTTTTAGGTGGCTTTTTCGTCTCATCCGAAAGTGTTAGTTACCCTTATGGGTCCGATTGAAAGTTCGAGGACATGAAGCAGCCTTGCTTTCATTAGAAAATTTAGGGAACGTTTTGTCTTTATACCGAAAGTTTTAGGAGACCTTTTTGTACAATAATCGCAATAACACAACCTTCGAAAATCGTTTAAGCTATGAGAAAACCTACCAACATTTTAGACGAATGGAACGGTTATCCAGAAATTTTTAGCTTTTCTCAATCTTTAGAATTTTCTAGGCAATATTTGCTCCTTCGAACAGTTATTTTACAGAAAAAATTCGCTGGGTGACCTGGCCAACCTAGTATTAAAATAGGACGAAACAACGTACTTCTGTCCGCTTACCTTAAAAACGGCTTCATTCAAGAAGAAACGCGTTACGGTGAAGAAAATGCCAAGAACTGCACATAGAAGAATATCATTAGCTGATATATAGAAGTCAGTGGAAACATCGTCAATGAAATCTTTCAGAAACGTCTTTGTTAAGCCTCGTTTTTTCCACTCAACCCAGTGATTTCTCCATGTTTTGACGAAAGCTTCAAAGTATCCTAGCGCCATCCTGATTAAAATCTTTGTTTTTAGTTAGAACGCAGTGATCAAAGGCACATGATAATGATAAACTTTGAAGCGTAATATAAAGATTACAAAGCCACACTTCTAGTAACTTAGTCACCGCACCTGAACAAACGGAATTTGTTTAACGGCATAAATTTATATAATAATTTGTTCTGTTCGGCAGTAAGCACTCCTTAATTAAGCGAAATTATACCTATAAGAACACCTTTTTTGGAAGCAGCTGACTGCCAAGCGTTTTGGAATTAGCTCTATCTGCCTCTAAGCTTTGAGAAAATTGTATTTTAGCAAGCTCATTCTCTCTTAACCGGGACAATTATTTATTAAGCTTAAAAGGCAGTCCCTACTAATAGCAGAGATAATGATTACGGAGTAAGAGGAAATCGCTTCTTAGCAGTATGCACGTACCATTATTTTTTGCCACTAAACCCAATTCTGGAAAGTTATGAAAGCAACCTAGCTGAGTACCTCTGTAAAACCTTTTCACTATATTTTCAGCGATTCTCATTGATACAGAGGATACTTTTTTGTTAATGTTACAAAGGCAGTCACATTTATTGTCCACGGTACAAAATACATTTATTTATTTATCTCATGATACATATATTTTCATACATATTGTTCATTAATTTGATTGTACTTTCCTCGTCAGTTTCTTTTTGCCCCCAAATTTCCGTGGCTACCCTAATTATATACGCTAGTTATAAGATTTAAGGAGTCATTCTGTTTTCAAAATACGATTTTTCGGGCCGATGTTTCTATCTAAAGAAAAAACGCCGAGACACTGAAAAACCATGCAGATTCCCATAAAATGACCTAAAATCAGTTGGTTTGAAATAGATTTTTTAAAAACCGGGCTGACTTTTGCTTCTACAATTTAGGACCCGTCCTAAGTCATGCCACCAAAAAATCGTAGCCTTTAAGCTGTCTCACAATCCCCAGCCGTTTTTCGGAAATGGGCCCAACAAGAGGAACAAGAGCGGCGGAAATCTGCAATCCCGGTCATAATTTGTTGAAACACTTCCTGAAAACACAAGTTAAACTTAGTGGTTTCATGAATACACGTATTACTTCCCTCCCCTTCCCGCAATGTTAGTTTCACGCGTTTGTTTAAGCATATACGTCTTCGAAATCAAAATTGAGGGGAATGGGAAGAAGAACTTCACAAGGGTCTCAACCATTATGATCAGGAATGTGGATCATAATACGAAGGTCACAGAAGGGAGAAAAATGCGCCTTTTCTCATTTCAATCGTTTTCGGGTTAAAGACTGTTTTCTTTCTTAAAACATTTTTAAAACACTGAGTAGAAATTGGAAAAATACTTAGATTATAATAGTATCATAGTATTTCTGAGAGTGAAGGTGAAAATATCGGTCAATCATGGACTAGCGTTCAGATTCCACAGTCTGCTCTCACGGGCTATCATGGACCGGTTTCGGGGTGGACTTGCTAAATTTCTGCGATTTCATAAGAAGATTCTACCCGTGCCTGCAGCGATTATTGTTTCGAGTAGACGCTGCGATCCTTTTATTCAGTGCCACACATTAAAAAGCGCTGTCCAAAAGGATCACGGGTCTGGGAACGAGAATGGCCATTTCCCAAGTGTTTCTATCAGACCTCTTTTTGAAAATGAGGCTTAGTACAAAGCCTCAGATAAAAAAAAAAATGTATGCATTTTAGGAAGCAAGTTTTTATTTGCGCTGATCAGACTTGTTGGTATCATTTTTAACCTGGTAACAAAGAAGACTGAGGTACCATATAACTAGAAACATTTTGGACACCGGCAAATGGTAAAAAAGGGAACTTTTCTCTTAAAAACAGATTTATTGGCAGCAAGGAAATTACAACTCCAAGCTTAGAGATCCTTTATAAACGGCATGCTTATAACGTCTATAAATATTCCATATTATTATAATGATCAGTGACGACAACATTCTGATGCCGCGGCATCTGACATGAAAAAAATAAAAAATAAAAAAGACTTTATTCATGATCAATAGGCTGCAGGATTTGCTTTATCTTGCTCTTATCAAATAATAGGATGAAGATAAACACTTATAGAACTGAAACCATGGCTCCTCGTACTTCGCTTCTCTAATAAAACTGCCAGGTGACGTCTATCCCCACATTCTTGTTACGCTCTTTTGCCATTTGCCATAGTTTTTTTGTCTGGCTTCTCTCGTATGTCTTCCAAACTCTTTCCAGCAACTGTTCGAATCAGGAGCCATAAAATGATCCTGAACCACCACAAGTTCATAGCCAACAGAATCCACAGCATGATGTTGAAGAAGAAGTAAAATGGCCCGGTTGGGACAAGAGGACGAAATTCATAGCCACAAGAATAGAGCACTTTAATTGGGTAGATGTATAGTCGACAGTAAAACCTGGAAATCATTATTCATAGAATGAGACACGTTACTAGTAGAAAGCGCTTCTAAGGCCCAATTTACTAATTCTTAAGGACTTCATTTTAGGCGAAATTCTCGAGATATTAACCCTATTCAGACCTTCGCTCACTACAAACTTGAGTAACTTAAAAACCGTTTAAGACCCCCAAACCTGATGAAAGTACGAAATGTAATAGAACCAAAACAAGACTAAAACAAAGACAAAATGAAGTAACTGGTTATGCATTAACTTTGCCTGCAACAATTTCGCCTATGGTTAACCGGTCTCCATCAACTGCTCCTATTCCCCGAGGATTTAGTTACCCGGGGTAACCCCTTCATTCGCCTATAATATGAATCGCATTGAAACTGCGTCGATCACGTCGAAACAAAAGTTACTATAAAATACATTTGCCAAGCGGCTACCAGTGAAAACGATCATTTAAGTGGCAAACCGAATACTTGTGATCAAGCTTACCAGAGAAACGTGAAGCAAAGGAATCCGACATTACTAAGAATGTCAGGAACGATATAGTACTTTCCGTTGCGCGTCTTGAATGCCACACAGAGTTTACAGAATTCTAAAAATACATCATTAACGTCGTGTAGAAACAGGACTAGAACTCCAATTCGGTGGTACCTGAAATTAAATTGTAAAACGCTGCTGTCCTAAGGTCCGTTTAGTTAGCGTTCTATCACGAAGCTATTGTTAGTGTCACTAGGGAATTTTTTCAACCATCTACTTTTAAGCTGATGTTCTGGCACGCCTCCTTCACTCCATCCCCACTGTGGTCTGGCCCACCCATTCTTATATTTGACTTATTTACTAGTTTCTAACGTTCCTTGGATATCATTATGCAAACAAAAATCTTTCATAATTTGCAAACACTTCGGTAACTTGGTAGACAAATCTTAGTCTTAAGTAGTGAAATGCACTTGTATCGCTTTCGTTACTTTTAGAGCGACTGTCCCCTAAAAGTATCGAAAACCACTTGTACAATAGTAGATATGCTGGCGGTTAAAAAAAGTCTGATGATATCATAGTTGTGGTTAGAAAGAATTATATATGGAGTCCATGTATACCCAGCCTTTCTTTCATGTTAGTATACAGCTTCCTCATTTGACCTACATATTAGCAGGATGATCAAAGACATTAAAGACATCTAGATGATATTTTCGCAAAGCAAGGATTCTGAGGAACCCACTGTCGAGAAGCGGGCCATATTGAACTGAGCAGCTACGAAAACTCGTCTCTCGGCGAGAAAAGTATTCAGTAGATAATTCTTTGGATCTTAGGGCCTGTTTACATGAAGGTGGGGGACCCCAGGTAGGTGAGGTAACATGTGGCGGGTTACCCCACCTAACATGTAAACGTGATCACATTAAAATGAGATTGTATAGACAGGCGGGTTACCCCACCTAAGTGGGTTACCTCACCAACCTGGGGTCCCCCACCTCCACGTAAACAGGCCCTTAAAGAAACTGTCGGTAATCTTACCTGACCGCAAATGAAAATAGAATTAGTGAAATAGTTACAATGTGATGCAAAATCATTAGAACGGAGTCCTTCCTCCACACATCCATATACAATACGGCATATAAGGTATGAATGTAGTACCCTGCTTGCACAACATAGAGCGTGTAAATGTCATCAGGAACTGGCATTCCTTTGTGCCATCCTGGGATAGTGAAAACAAAAGAAATACGTATCATATTGGGTACCTATTAGTAAACGTTTGAGAAAAACGCAAACACAAGCACAGGGATAAAAATCCTTGTTTAACCATATAAAAAGACCCAAAGCGGAGGCGCAAAATCCCTGGGACAGTTTTTGAAAACTGTGACCCTCCTTTCAGCAACGAATACATATCAAACGCACAGATCAAGACTAACAGCCAGGCGCTTCCAGGTGTCTTGTGTCTTCACTTAATTATCTCATGGAGTGCAAGACAACTTCCCACGTCGCGCGTGTCATGCGCTCTACGCCTACCTCGTGGTTGCCTTCTCTTGCCTGAAAAAGGCGGGAAAATGAGGCATGTTCAAAATCGCTTTCCCTACCCCTTGAAATGCCTGCCACGCGGGCAAGACAAAAAAATCAGACGGAGGGGGAAAAGCCAAGCCCAGCCCCTGGGGATATGTGAACTGTTTTACCAATGTTATTTTTAGACCAATTAAACGCTTGAAATTAATTGAAAATTTGTTTTCGGAGAAGTCGGCAAAACTTTATTCTGGTTTTTAAGGGAGAATTCAACAGTCGTCATCCCAATATATTTCTGCATTGTTTGCTTTGAGGCAGTCGTGCATGAACTTGGTGACAGTTCAAACAATCGATTAAAATGTGCGGACATTTCAGGAATAAGATTTCCATTTGAAATTCACATATCCTGGTCAACGCTCTAAGATTTTCTCTCTGTATATTCTCTCTAGCTTGGGCGGCTTAAGTTCATCTAAGGCGACCCTTTCACGTGATACCTAGCCTGCGTAGCATGGCGGTTTTGTCGAGCCTGCCCAATCTCCTCACGGTTTCTCTGCCCTCCCGCGTTTATTACTTAGCGCGCCCAACCAAAACCGCCATGCTACGCAGACTACCTGATACC